ATCCGAAATTTAAATTTCTCATATCACTCCTGAACTACTTTATTTTCGGTTTTTCTATATTTGGCCAATGTGCTCGTTCGTTTTTTGAATGAATTACCATTGCATTAGCATGAGTGATGAGTTTATACATGGGGACGTGGGGCCAAATCGAAGAGAACACATTTTATAAATCCATGATGCTACTTTTGAAGTGATATATCTCTATGATCGATTATTTTGTTCAAGGTCTGTTCTAGGTTCTAGCCGGTCTTGCTCCTAGTTCAGTTGATACGAGTAAAACGAGTATAGTAATCACTGTTCTGACGCATAGAACTGGTATTTTGGTTTTTTCTAACCAATAATTGCCTATTTGAAATCATTACTTCTCCCAGTAACGTGTATACTGCGTGTATAACCTATTTTGCGGAATATTTCGCAGACAAAACACTTTCATGTGATTTGAATGAGAATCAAATGGTCGGGTATAACCATTGAAGCTGTTTTTCTGCTGATTTCTCAAAGGATCACCGATATTAAATGATACGAGCTTCACAAGACAAAGTGAAAAAGATTATAAAAAGCTCAATGAAGGATTATTCATCTCCATTTGAACAGAAAAATGTAATAGAACGTAGTCATTACTAATATAATGTAATATGATATGATATGATATGATATGATATAATATGATATGATGTGATATGATATGATATGATATGATATGATATGATATGATATGATATGATATGATATGATATGATATGATATGATATGATATGATATGATATGATATGACATGAAACTGAAAGGGATATATTTTTTTTGGAAAAGAAAGGCTTTCTACTTCTCCATCTCTATACAAATAGTTGTGTGAATCTTCCAATTAAAGGAAGATACCAATCAATTTCACAATAAACTCTTTGAAAAAAATTGTAGATCATGCAAATATGTAACTTTTACAGTCAAACTGGAGGGAAGCCTTCTCGAAACAACTACTTTTATATGAATATTATTTCATTATACAGTTTGTAATATATCATAATATAATATATCATAAAACAATATACCACTATTGATTTTTTTTGCATTTGTCAGGTGTGAAGAGTTTTGTTGGTATTTTACATTTGTATTGGTTTTGGCAGTAGATTTCTCCGATGGTGACACAGACCCAGATGTTTTGAATACTCCAGAATATCATATAATATCATATTATGTCATGTCATATCATATTATGTCATGACATCACATGTCATGTCATATTATGTCATAACATGACATAATATGACATGACATGACATAATACGATATGATATTCTAGAGTATTCAAAACATCTGGGTCTGTGTCACCATCGGAGAAATCTACTGCCAAAACCAAGACAAATGTAAAATACCAACAAAACTCTTCACACCTGACAAATGCAACAAAAATCAATAGTGGTTCAACGTCCTACCAATACATCCAGAAACGAAAACAAAACATTGTTATAGGGAAAAACGGCCCGGGAGTAATTTAAACGGTATCAAAATTAGGCTATCTCCATGTATACAGGATGTCCCAAGAAGAAACAGCCGAATGTCTCAGTAGTTTTCTTGAGAAAATTACCCCTGTCATCAAGTTCACATGTGAGAAGCTAACAAAAAAACTAACTCAACGTCATCATTCAAAGTGTCTTTTCCTATATCGAACGTGAAAGATATCTACGATCCTGAAATATGGGCTAACGAATGTGCAGTACGACGTTTCACGTTAACAAAAAACTTGGGTGCAGGAGCCAACTTGGCTCAGCAGATACCAGCATAGACTACAACCCATTTCCAGGTGACCAAAAGGAATTTCCATCTGCATTCAGTGTTTTTAGCATTAACATACAATGCATTTCAAATAAACTAGATTTTATTGAATGTTTATTCAACGATTATGACTTCACATTTTTACTGTTCAGTGAGCACTGGCTTGGGAAACTACAAATTGAGAATATTTTAATCAATAACTTAAAACTGATAAGCTACTTCAGTCGTAGTTATCATATGCATGGTGGAGTTGCAATCAGGTAGATCATTTACGAATAACAAAAAAATAAGTGGACCCAGAGTCGATCCCTGAGGAACTCCCAGGTTCATCTCATAATATTCAGATTTATGCTCTCCGATTTCAACTGATATTTTCATCGACCATGACAAGAAATTTTCAAGAAACCACAGGAATACAATTTACTTTCGATTATATTCAATTCAATAATATCAAATGCTTTCGGCAAGAATTGTATCTATGTATATAGATGTTTTGTAGATTATCTACCTGCTACGTTTTATAATCATTTCTAGTATATATGCATTCAATTATCTCTGAATTGTTGTTCAAAAGGGCAACAAATCATGGACAATCACATCACATTTGTCAAGTGCTCTCGTCGCAGTCCCCCAATCGAAATCGTTTAACGCAGAAATGCAACAGATGAATATCGCGTTCTTGGCAATGGCCGTGCACGTAAGTCGACGGTACGCCGCAGTAGTACCAACATGGAAGATGGCTAGTCGAGCCGTTCCGCATGGCTGTTTAGCGTCCGGGAAACGCACAGAGTTGTCAGCCCGTGAAGCGACTGCTGTCCCCCTTTCCCGCCCCGATCGCCGTTCCGCTCCGGTGCCCCTTTCGGAACCGCGTGACCGAAGATTGTTAAGGCGCGTTCACACGAAATCACTCCAGGACAATTATCCTTGAGCTTCAGGGAGTAGAAATGTCAAGAGAAAGTTAAAAACATGGGGAGTGATTTCGCAATACCGTATTCTTTAACCATTTCTATAGGAAAATGAGTGATTCTAATGGTCGTGAATGAGAGCGTTTGAAGTCGGGGGGAAAATAAAGGAAAGCATACTTAAACATCTGTGAACACTTGAAGTTTTGTGAAGTTTATGAAATTCAATTTCACAAAAATCCATCTTGAAACGTTTCAACTAGAATGGACGTTTTTGATCTAGTAATTTATTGGAAAGGACTAATTAATAGAGACGTAGAAAAAAGCTTCGGACACAGAGGAAAAGCATATAAAGACGTACTTCCATGCACAATCTGATCTTATCCAGTTTTATGTTTGTATGTTTCTGCAGTTTCATCTTTGCTGGCTCAAGAAATTGTAGTTTTGTCTTCTTTCATATAATCTTGTTTGTTTACTGACTGAACTTTTCAAAAATATCAATTGATAGTCAATAAATCCTTCCCTTTCGGAAACATTTCCTTTAAACTATCATAATACCTAATTCTCTCAACTTTCATCGCCCTTTCCTTCTTTTTTACTTATTCGAAAATATTAAATAGCTGTGAAATAAATTAAACATTTCAATCTATACTTATAAATGCATATGTATCATGCATTGTGGTGCTTAGAATTAGGAATCATATTTGGAAAGGACAACAAATATTCTACTTTACTGCTCGTGTCAAACATTGTCTTTCAAGTTCCCTGAATAACAGTAACCAAGAAACTAGCCCCTAGAACTCTCAGTAATCTCTATATTCTTGAAAGACTCATCGTATATGGGATTCTGCTGTTCTAAGACTTTTTAAATCCTATTCAATGATATAAATCACTAACAACTTCTATTATTTTTCATTAACGATTTCATCGATTCACCAATGTGTGTGAACTGACCTTAATAAGTAGACTGGTACAGAAAGACACGGACGCCACTGTCGACACACACCGGAAAACGCAACAGGTTGCACGAAAACAAAGTTATACTGGAGTACATGGTCATTCACTAGTTGTATATTATATGAACTGAAAATTTATTGGTGATTAAAAATTGTTGGGTCAAAATTTCGATTGAAAAGGAAAAAACATAGTAACCTTGGAACAGTTGCATAAATGGACTCAATAACTTTAATCCCTGGCATTTTTGAGTTCTTATTCATAAAAATGTCAATTGAACGGAAAATGTTTTTAGAAAAGATGAATTCATCTTTGCAAAAAAATGTGGGAAACTTTAAATAGTTGCTGAACTTGAATATCATATGGCATGATAGTTACTCAAGTAACCAATACTTATTCCTAGTCAATTGGACTGAAATTTTGCGAACACGTTCAGTTTCCATGACAATACATGATAAGCAAATCCAAGATGGCGGACCGCCAAAGATGGCGGACTAGTTTATGAACCCCCACCACCATAGTAAAGTTATTAATTGGAAGGTGAATACGAAACAATAACTCGCGTTATTCTTCAATATATTCCAATTCAATATGGCGTACTCCCAAAGATAGTGAACCATTGGGAAACAAACGTTTTGGCTGTCTACTTCTTCATCTTCAAACAAAAAATGTGAGAATGTTCCAAAGGAAGAAAGCAATTGAATTCAAACATATGTAGATAATGCAAATAAATACCTTTCAGGCACAAACTGAAAGAAAAAAAACTCTCTCAAAACAACTACTATCATATAAACATTTAATTACACGAAAGAGAAAATACTCCACATCTTTCTGAAGACTTCATTTTGAAATTATTTGCTCTCTTGTCCGTTTTAATGTCATGTATTTTTGTAGCTCCATTTCTTGAATGAGATTTACTCTACAGTATCGCGTTATATACTGATTGATAGAAAATTTTATGTAATGGTTTGCGAAATTTGAGCGCCTCTCGTGGTTGTCTTGCAAACATTCGGAAAAACACAACTACATCATAAATAATTTTCAATAATAACACAATCACTTCATTTATCACTGATTATCATTAAAAATGGAAGAGACACTTTGAATTTCCACCTCCTGATTAACAATAGACCCTTAGAAGGCATCGAATTCTTCAATTTTAACAACACAGATACCACATCGGGTAAGTTTTACGGCATTTTCAATTTGGTATTATGTAAATATTGCCGTTTTATAGTTTTCACAACTTTGTTGGGGGTGATGTACCTACCTGTTTAAATCAAAATATTTCAAATCTTAGACATAAATGCCCTTCCCTATTACCAATCTGAAAAATTTCGATTGGCTATGCTGTTGCTAATATAATATTTTATTTGACAGTTGACAGAAAATAGATGATTTCGTTTTTCTCCTCGAAATTTACTTTGTGTACTTTAGTGTGATAGGTGTGATTTGGAGTTACTATTGTGAATAAAGTAATGAAATATTCGCAACTATGAATGAATATGCGGGTAGTTTGAAAACTCAATGTAGGGCTTGTCTAGAAATAGCACCCCGATTGTATCCTCTGGTAGGAAACATTGCTAATTGTGATGTTACCATTGCAAAAATGATTTCCTACTGCACCTTGACCGAGGTAACAATAATAATAATGTTTATTTTTGAACACTCCTATAATATTCAACCTCGGCTACTTCATTTAACAACCATTTATCTTTTTCAGATGGATTTAAGTGAGGATCTGCCATCAGGATTTTGTATGCAATGTTTTCGAACAACTCGGATTGCTTACAATTTCATTCGTCAATACAGGGAGTCGCAAAAAAAGCTGTTTCAAGAAAAAAATGAAGTAGAAAAGGCAAACGAAACTGAAATAAAGAATGAAGTGGAAAATGAGGCAAGTGAGGAGGAGAGAAGCAATGTTTACAGTGAATCACAAACATTTCAGAGTGAGAAGTTATACCCTGTTGATGAAGAACAACAAACAGGGGATGAAAACGAGGAAGATATTTCAGAAAATATAAAATATATCGAACAAGAAGCAGATGACGAAGTTGTAAATGAAGATAATGTAGAGGAAGTTGTAAACGAAGATAATGTAAACGAAATTGAATTTTATCCAAATAATGATGATGTACTGGTGGAAAGGCTGGAATCTGGATTATATGAAGTGGAGGATTCTGCTTCAGACAATAACTACAAGGTTAGGATTATAAGAAATGAAAAATCTCCAAAATCTCATGAGAATACCATATTTAGAATGAAAGTAAATACCCGGTATACATGTCCTGTGTGTCCAAATGAATTCTATAGGGAATTCAAAAGGGGACTGATGGAACACATGGAGTTGCATGAAGGCGAAACATTCACCTGCAACACATGTACCAATTCACCAACCATCTACGACAAGGACTCATTTTTGAAACATTACGTTGATGTCCATCTGAACCAGTGCCATTTTTGCGAAAAAAGCTTTGCCAAGAGAACTTCTATGTTGTACCACGTCAAGACTCACACGAGCATTCTCTATTCGTGTAAACACGAGGGTTGCACAAAGGTGTATCCTTCACGAACGGCTTTGAACAAGCACGAAACCACACATGCTAATACAGTGAGACACATTTGTAGTGAATGCGGGGAGAAATTCAAGACGTATGATACTTTTAAATACCATATGAACCGGCACGATGGCAAAAAGTTTCTGTGCAGTATTTGTGGTCGAACGTTCATTTTGTCTGTGAATCTAAAGAATCACATGCTCACTCATAAGGGGGGCAGGCCCTTCAATTGTAGTTTTTGTGATAAGACCTATACTTCTTATACTCCCTTGAATAAACATATGCGTAAATATCATGCCGACAGAAAGAGGGGAAACAGTAGATATTATAAGTATGATGAGGTTTCATAGTTTGTATCTTTTTTCTTTTGGTTGATTCGGTTGTTATATTCTCAGTGGTTTGAATATAATATTGATTTTTTTTTCTAATACTGCAACACATGTGGATTTGGTAACTGTGTGAAATTATTGTGATACTATAATAGCTTCATTGAACATTTGAATTTAACATCAATTTATGCTTCAATCCAGATGCAAAATTACCCAAAATACGTCATGTGATTCACATTATCTGTCAAATTTAAATTTGCCAATTTTGGGGTCATTTTTCAAAATTATTATTAGGAAAAGACTTCCCAATACAAGTTTTAGTCAATATACAAACTTTCATATGCACAAAGGATTTTGATTTTCCTCCCTTCTTTCAGCACTAAAGCAAAATAATGGTGCATCTACACTCTACAAAAAACTTGAAATTTCAAGGTAAGATACATGAATGACTTCTGGTGAAATGCCCTTTTGTTTCAGAAATTGTATGTTGAAAACCAAGTGGGATAGTTGATAGTACTAACGTTGCCGCAAGATGGTGCCAAATGGTCTCTCTCTAATTTAATGGACGTTGCTTCCCACTCGGGCACATTTGTCCAGGCTCCTATCAATTTGACAGAAGCTTCGTCGGGGTGGGGCGCAGCGGTTTTGTTCGAAGCAATGCTGCCACCCCTTTTTTGTCGCACTTTTTATAATATGAAACTATACTTTTTTATTATCGCCTCCTGTTCAGGAGACCTTTTGATTTTTTAACATATATATTTATTGGGTCGCCTCCTCGTCGGGAGATTTTCGGATTTTTAAATTCACATACGTGGACCCTTTACGTGGTTATCCGAACCACCCGGCCTTGATACCGGCGTGAATAAAAGGGCCTTTAAACTTCACTTTTTAAAAACTCTCACACATTTCAGTATTCATTACTATGGACTAGCACAACACAAAACGGAGCCCCACGATAACAGATGGCATCCGCGTACCTTCTTTGACGTTCTCAACACGTCCGTCCACTACCACGGCCACCACGAGACTCCGGTGCCAATGGTCAATATTTCTATCAATTTTAGTCAATTGACGTTGCCGATTCTATTATTTTTTCTTAGTAAGAAACCTAAGAGGTTATCGCAAATAAACCATGGAAGTTGACTTTGACATATCTCAAAGTTGAATCTATAAACCCTCACCTGCTGAAATAAACTCATGAAAATGATATGTCTTGTGATAAAAAAAGTATTGATGTTGAGAAATTTTTTAAAACAGTCACCTGGCATTCTCAGATAATCATAATTGTTGTTGCAATTCGTGCAACAAAATATAAAAATTAACTTTTGTTTTTTTTTTTTTAAGTATTTTTGTCATCCAGTTACCTTTTTCTTCTCACCAGTTTCGAGGTTTGTACTCTTGTGAAATCAGTAAAAAGCATGATTATTCTAACTTGTATACCCACTTCGAATATAATGATATCTATAACGAAAGCATATGGATTACCCATAGTCCTTCAACATTAGTAGTTCCACACATAAATGATTTATATTGATTTGTATTTGTATGAGACACTTTATGAGAATGAAATAAAATACAATAATATGAGTATTTTGAAATGATGAGAAAATAATAGTATTCTGTAGCCAGTAGAATAGATCTTGATACTTTCTAATATAGTAGTAGTGTTGTAAAGTGAGTGAGTGACACGTACTTTGTTTCATTGCCTCTGCACCGATTTTGAATTTTACATTTGACAGAATTTATGTACGCCAGTGCATAACGAGGGCACCACCAGTTTTATCGATGGAAAAAGCTATAAATGTCTATGACTGGAAAGTGAGAAGAGGTTAAATTTAAATGGAGAGGTTAGTCAAAGTTTGGAAAGTAGGCAGGATAAGTTACTCCAAAGGATTAGCTCTTCAGAATTATTTGGCAAGTTTACACCTAACAAAAGACGAGCCAAACAACGTTCTGCTTTGTGTTGAGCACGATCCCGTCTATACTATTGGCATCAGAACGAAACAGTATTCTGATGAAGAAGCCATCAAATTGATTCAAAAAGGAGCAGAATTCTATAAAACAGACAGGGGCGGTTTAATAACGTTCCACGGGCCTGGCCAATTAGTCGTTTATCCGATACTAAACTTGAAGCATTTCAACACAAACATAAGATGTTATGTTTCAAAAATCGAGAGCACAGTAATAGATCTGTGCAAGGAATTCAGCCTAAAGGCTGAAACATCACCGCACACTGGCGTGTGGATAGGAAATGACAAGATATGCGCTATCGGTATTAGAGCTAGTCGCTACATTTCCACTCATGGATTGGCGTTGAATTGTTCAACTGATTTGTCCTGGTTCAACCATATTACACCATGCGGGATTGATGGAAAAGGTGTCACCAGTATTTCCAAAGAAGTCGGTAGGATTGTCACTATCGATGATGCCATTCCAAAGTTCGTTGACAGTTTTAGTAACATTTTCAATTGTAGAGTTATTAGTTTCTCCAATGATGATACAAAAAAGATTTTAGAAGATATGGCAGTAGAAAAAATTGGTTACAAAGATGACAAGAAAAGTTACGTAATTTGATATGATTTAGGTAGTAAGATTCCACTGCTAGAATGTTCAGTGTGATCCAAAGAATTATCACCCTTCCAAGAATTGGTTCAACCATTTCATTGTGCAAGACCTAGGAAAATAGAATGGGAGTATTTTTGCCAAAACTATTTAACCAATAGTGAAATTTATTTATTATAGATGCTGTATGTTGGTATTCATTATATATTTTATATATTTATGTTATCTCGATTTAAAAAGTTTTTCAATGAATGTTATCGTACCCTACTCTTTTGTGATATACTTGTAAAATCAACTGATTCTCAAAATACATTTTCTTGTTCACTACTTGTATTACATTGATATTTGATGGAATTGGCCCTAACGTGATGAAAATCCATGATAATGTATTCAAGTATGAAATGTAACATTTCATACTGTCACGTTAAATGTTACTTTTCAATTTAATATTTTTGAGAGTATTCTAAAACTTACCAGAGACATGAAGTTCATTTTACAAAGCCGCTCCGGCAAATATTTATGAAGTATACATATTCTCATCATCATCGCTGATAGTTTCTGGAAACAGCACATAATCTGTTTATGGCCCGCCATGGACTGGATACAGTTGTCAGACTCCCACTCTTACCAGCTGACCTGAAAAATCACTCACCAAATAAAGTAAATAGCTTTTTTAAGAAGCTGGATTTGCTAGAGTTTGAATACATATGAACCTTAGACGATGTTGTTAGCACCAAAAGGAAAACCATGGACTACGTTTATGTCAACAGCTTTGGTCATCTTGAAGACAGGATAGAAACTATTTTTGCCTTCGTTCAATATTTACATTGAAGGGGAATTAAAAATGTGAAGATAAATATGGTGGTTTTGGTTGGTTTCAACTGCAACTGTGAGACTCATTTTCAATAGCATGGTTGAAGTACTCTCCTTGACTTAGCAACTACAATCAAATATCAACTACCTATCTAAGTTAATGAAATCGGTACAATATTTCCTATGAAACAATTTACATTATATGCTGATGATATATTATTGATTATTTCTAACAGATCTAACAATATCTCATGAAAAGAATGCGAATCTATATTGGAGTCTTTGATGAAGTGGTTCTGGTCAAATAATCATTCAATCCAGACAAAACAACTATCGTAAAATTTCAGACAGTCCAACAACGCAGTGAGGACTTCAAAATTAAACTATCTAGTCAAGAAATTGTAACCAGTGATACTATGAAATTTCTAGGTATTGAACTAGAGAAAAATCTCAAGTTCAAAACACATTGCGAATCATTAATATCTAACCTGTACAGGTGAAATCTCGTTTGAGATATGAGATTCATTTCTGGGGCAACTCCACACATTCTAGGAACACATTTGTTGCACAAAAAAGAATCATACTAACGTGTTATGAATCACACGTTAAAAGGTAAGACCCCGTTAATCCTTAGCTCGCACAAGTTTCAACTTCTGAGGGTTGTCGTTCGGAGGGGTGCGACAGTTGTTTAACAGAAAACCATATTTTAAAACAGACAGAACAGATTTTAGCAGGAAAATCAAGACAACACTCTTGCAGAGATCTTTTCAAAAAACTGAACATTTTAACTCTGACTGGATTATTTATTTTTGAGATATGTTTGTCTAAAGAAATAGGAAAGGAATCGCAAAGAATTATAACACACATAACATCAATACAAGACAAAAGAACCACTTGCGTATACCTTTTGCCAGATTGAATATTACCAGTTCTTCGCCAAACTGTATTGGGCCAAGGTTATTTAATAAATTGTACTAGGGAGATAGAATTTAAAAAAGAACTCAAATATTTTTATTGGACAAAGGTTTTTTTTATACTGTGACCGAATTTTTGTGTACGTAATTTACTTGTTTCTAATATGCACTCATTACTTTGTAAGTTTTATAGTTGTGTAGTATCTGTGACTATCCCTATACAGTGTATGTTGTCAATTATGGGAAATGAAAAAAAAATGTAACTGGATAAAGGTTTTTTTTATACTGTGACCGAATTTTTGTGTACGTAATTTACTTATTTCTAATATACACTCATTACTTTGTAAGTTTTATAGTTGTGTAGTATCTGTGACTATCCCTATACAGTGTATGTTGTCAATTATGGGAAATGAAAAAAAAAGTAACTGGATACGTCTAGAAGAGTACTTCGACCGTGCCCCTGAAGATGGCCGCCGCAGTTGCAGTCGAAACATTTCGAGATTGTAACCAAAGAAGACCATGGCAAAACCTGGAATCCAACCAAAACATTGACGCCAGCCGAGAAAGCCTACATTTCTATAAATATGGTTATTCCCATATTGAATTCAAATAAAGACAGAATTTTCAGGTTATTAAAAAGAGGCAAATTTTCAATTCTTCTAGGTGAGTACAATAACTCTCAAAAATATCAAGTATGAATAACAACACATTCAATATATCTGAATAGAGTTTTTAATATATTAAAAATACATCAAAGCTTTAATACAACATTTTACATCCTACCAACACTTTTAACAGCTATCAGTCCTTGTCATCTGACTTAACCTTCTTAATCTCTTTGATTATCTCGCCGAGCTTGTATAAATCTTTGAGGGAAACGTCTCCTGTGCCTCGTTCCATAGGCTTAGGTTGTTGGGGGTGCGGTTTCCAACCCAGCATGTTGATTACCTGAAGTAGAGAAATGATACAGTCTTCATTATTTATATGATAGTTCGTTTGACAATAATGAATATCTCTCTGACTTTCATTTCACAGTTCATTTGTTCATCAGTTCAAAATATTACTCTACAAACCTGAAATGTTGCGGGTATTGTCAATTTTCCAGTTTCTGGATCAGTGCTACCATAAAGTTGTTGATAAATGGCCCCTGCAGCAAACTGGGTATCTCGATGAAGATGCAAGGATCTGTTCAAAGCTGCATTACTTTCAGCCATTCCTGAAAGTATTATGAAATATAACATTCCGTTAATTTCTATTCAGTAGATATCCAACCACAACAAAAAGTTGTAAAAAAAATTGAGCCTAATCATTCACCTTTCAGATCCCACATGAGCTCAAATATCGATGGATATTTAACGACAATTTCATCAGTATCGATTGTCAGCATAGTGAAACCTGCTCTTGTTAACAGATTCCCGACATCTCTGACCTCTGTGAAAGGAGATATATGTGGTGATAATCCTCCACGTCGCTCTAATTCGGCCAGCTGCAATGACGATCTGAGTTCATACAGAGTGTCTCCGCCAAATACTGATGCTAGTAGAACCCCATCCTCTTTCAAACTATCCAATATTCTCTTGAAAGCCTTGGGTAAGTCATTCACCCAGTGTAAACTCAGACAAGAAATGACTAGATCCAACGAGTCCATATCGAACTAAAATGAGAATATTTCTAGTTTTTATTGACTTTTATTTGTGTATTTTCCCTTCCACAATCTGAAACAAATCAGAATTGTAATGGAGAACTTCATACAGGTGTAGAAAACGCTGATTTCTAGTTCACCTCAATAAGTAAATTCAATATTTCGTGCACAAAGAAAAATGTGTATCAAAAACTTGTCGTTTTTGATAATTTTGCTGGTTGAGAATTCTAGAGATGCTCAACAATCCAACAAGATTTGTTCCTATAGTAATATGAGATCTGTTCGAAAAAATTGAATTTTTACATCTATATGAAGTACTCATTATAATTTTTTTTCAAATGAGGAAGGGAAAATACCAGCTAAATGACTTTAATTCTATATTGGGGAATATTCGTGTTGCCGGGATTATTTGTAAAAAATTTCTCACATGCCTCTATATGCTCTTCATCCAGAATCTGTTTCCTGACTTTGATACCCTCCATTACGGATGCAGAATCCAAATTATGTTGGCTGATATCGCACAATATCAGTTCTTCGACACAATCTGGAGAAATATGTTTTGAAACATAACCACGATGGCACCCTAGAAATTCATAAATAAATCGGTGTTATTTGCAGAGCAATGCGATATTTTTCACCTATATCGGCTGCTAATTTGAATTTTCTTTTAATATCAAATACTCGATCAGCAAGTCGATATCCAATTTCATCTTTCAGGTAGTCATATAAATTTACATCTTCAGCTATTGCCGCTCTTTTTCGTTGCAGACTTTTGGTGTTACGGTCGAAAACGTTGATGGTATGATTTTCTAGTTTATTCAAAATATATCCATTGGAAATACTTCTGCAGTTATGAATACAATAGCCCAATGACTTCGTTGAACATGATTTATTTGTTAGAAAAAAGTGTTTTATACAATTCATAGTGCTTATTACTTGGATTATAGCATTTTTTACAAGATAGACATTATTTTACGAGCCTGCAATTGAATTAAATTATTTCACCCTCAAATTCATTTTTATTAGGTTATAGGTTTTGAGTTCTAATGAGATCAAGGTCAAACTTCAGTAGCGTTTTTTTGAAACTAGCACTCATGGTACAGATTTCTGTCAAATTTCAGAAAGGTAATTGGAGCACTTAACAATAGTACTACTGTAACAAGAAAAATTAAAATCTTATCTCCTGGCTACTGGAATATAGAAAAAAACTATTGTTATTTTTTTCATCATTTCAAAGTAACAGATTGACAGAAATGATTGTTAAATTTATTCAAATAGTTATTCTAGAAGCAAATGCTTATAACTTCAACATTAAATCGGAATGAACAATGAAAATATATTGATAAATAATTGAACTATCACTTATTGCAGTTGTACTGAAAATAGTCCAACCTAGTTTTTATGAAGTTCCAACAGATTGTTGGAAATAATTATGATATTAACTCAGAATGTACAGAACAATTTGGGAAGAAAAATATATTTTACCAAAATTACTCGAGTGTCACTATATTTTACCAAACGCTAATATCTAATATAAACTCAAGTTGGCAATAATATTTTATGTGTGAGGAAACACTGAGGCTCATGTTCTATTTCTTCACCAAATTTGAACATTCGAACTTTATAGCATTTGCTGCTCAAGCAGTAAAATCTCAAATTCCACTGTTTTTGTCATGGATGCTGCCACCGAAAATATGTGTCAAATCTATATTCTAGTTTCGTTGGCCGTGGTATACACGTTTTATGTCTCTACCACTGCGATATAGACATTTCTAAATATGAGGTAACAGACCAAGTGCTCCAGCTTTCCTTATATCTACCTGAATTTGTGGGGGAATTACCGTTTTATTTGTAATGTCAAACAGTTTTCAAGTCTCCGGTGCGTTCTGAGAATGTTTATTATTAGAATTGTTGATCAGAATTGAATCATCATTATAGATAAATAATCATGATAATGGTCGAATGCATTGCTAATTAATTATGGTTGGTGTCGGTTCTCTAAATGTTCCTATTATAACCACGAGTGATGCTAGCGTTTCAAAATCAAATCGAGTTCAAATTATTGGCAATTTTGAATACGGGATATTTGAAAAAAAGTGTTCCGAGGTTTTTTTCATCGTTTTGAGTTTTATCTTTGCTCTATGTTATTCAACTATGCAGAGATAGCAATTATCGTTTAGCGGAAATAAGATTAGGGCCAACAAAACGCACCTTTTGATATATATAAAATTACAAGGGTTAGTTGTAAAATAAACATTTTTTCAAATTTAAACTGTTATTAGAAAATGGAACATTTCACTGCAAACGGTAATTCTAAATAATGAATAATTCACCTCTTACTTCCAACACTTTAAACAAAATTGTTTTAGCAGTGATTTGCTGAAACTTCAATGGAAATTATTTTTCTGCCCCATTTGACACATTGATGGATGTTTCAATGGAAAGTATTAGTAACATTTTATCTTTCCTGGAAGGTTTTTGTTATATATTCAGAACTGAGTTGTTGAAAACTTCATTTTTCTATTTGCTAATCATAACTATATTATGAAGATAATCGATAGGATGATAAACAAATGAAAAAAAACCTAGAAAATCAATTACCAGAATTTAATTTTTAAAACTTTAGGAACATTTCTTATGGTAACAGATACTCTCGTTGACCTCTTCAGTTCCAGTTTATCAGCAGGAGTAATATTGGAACAGCTTCCAATGTTGTCTACTTCTCTTTCTGATATGGAATGTAAATACTTAAAATACATATCTTCTTTAATTATCACAAGGCTACATCTCTCCAATAATATATTGCAAACATTCACACGTTTCTCATCATTTTCCATAAACTCCAACACAGTATGCGAACCACACGTTATTGTGGCTATCGTAGGATAGAAAAGTGGTCCATCGGAATGTGGCATGATACCTTGGCCTGGTAAATATTCATTGATGAGTACTTGATTTGATTTCTTATCATTAAAGATGTGAAGGTTATCTACTTTATGCATGTACGTCTGAAGCCAAGTAGGAATTTTTTCTGGAATCATTCCTTTTTCGTGAGGTATACCACCATAATCTTGAAGTCTTCTATTGGATAAACAGGTCCATTTAGGTTTCGGAACTGAATAAATATTTTTCAACAAGAATGCTTCTTCATCGTTCGTAATGAAGTTGGGGATATAATAAACTGTTGGAGGAACCCCTTTTACTTCAAACTGAGTTAAATCCATTTGAAAAATGAAAATTCAATCCGGCAAAGTCATCATAATGCATCTTTGTTTACTAAATGGACACGTAACCTCTACTTTCAAAACATTCGTCTTCTTTTCCAATCATATGTTATGTCCTAAGCTAACTGTAGTATCCAGTCCATCTCATGTTTCAAATTCGAATGAAAAGGTGATACCAGATATTTCTTCCATTGTTTGCGATGTATGAGGCTCATATAAATCATTCAAGTTACACAAATTCAGTTACAAAAGAAGAACAATTCATCAAAAATTCACAAGAAACATATGTAATGATTAAAAATCACTTTCAATGCGAAATGGAAACACACGGTATGGTACAGTTAGCTGAAATTATCTCCCTACTAAATGAGATTGACTTATACACGTATCTCTACGACTATGTGTATAACAGTATAACTGGTGTCGTGTCTGCAGTTGTGCATACACAACACCATTTCGGTTTGGTTTCTACAACCTATTGTCTTATGGAACTTCGGATAATGATAAACTGGAAAAACCGTCAGTAATTCAAATGAGTGTAACTAGAGTTCCTTTTCGTGATATTCAACATTTTCTCTGAGTTACACGTTCGAATTATTACACCTACATGTCGCTCCCTTCATGAATCCCTTAAAAAAAGAACACGGGTTAGTGTTTCTGTAAAAACAGGAAGAAGAGAAAATTTTGACGTTTGTGGAATTGTCAATCAATCCAAAATAAATAAATAAATCCGTGATTTACATTAGATTTATGCTTTGTACTAACAAAAACGATAGTCTCGCGTTAATAACTGCTTGTAGAAAATTGCATTTCAATTCGAGAATCGATTCAATGTCGTATAAACCGAAATAAGGTTATGGCAGATACAGATTGTGCCAGTGAAAGCGCCAGTTCTGTAGGTGATGAAGAACGAGTCAGAAGACTCTTTCAGGCCTGCGATGCTAACGGGGATGGATATATCGATAGGTGATTCATTGCTTTTCAAAGTGAAAATGAAACTTCCTGAAACTGAAGTGTCCTCACTTTTCTATACAAAATTGAGTGTTATGTCTAACAACTGTGTAACAACACTATTATCGACTCATGTTTTGCCATTCAATTTGACTCCTTCAGAAGATCATAACACATTTCTGATCATATTTTACTTCTAGAGCTAGACACTTTCAACACAGTAGCAGCTGCATGGAATTTTTAAGAAGTTCAAAGCTGATATCCTGTAAAGTTGGCGATCAAGTGGCTAAACCATTTTCATACCACCTGAATTGCGGATGCAAAAGAGGAGCTAAGTTGTTGAATAAATTGAACATCAACAGATCATGTTATGTGTAATTCTCTGTATGCATGTGTTGTTCAGTACACATGCAAACACTTACAGCATAGTTTCTCTTTTCTTTGAAATTGTTGCTAGTTTCCAATTTTTCTCCGCTGCTAATTTCTTGTTACAGTGTATAAATATTCTTCTATATTTTCCATTCCTTATGCACTTCTCTTGCTTTTCCTTCATTTCGTGCTGAACTAACATTCCTTTTTATAATCAAACAATAAAATAAACTGAACAGACTCATAATTGTGAAACTGCTGAACTGCATGTTGATCTGAATGGAATTATTCAAATGTCATACTACTCATAACAGTCTCATTGTAATTGGCTGTTCATCAACTATAATTAGTGTTGCCACTTGTAACAACACAGAAAAAATAATTATAATGGTGCAACAGTTATTAGAAAATTTTGTTGAAGAGTTGGAAATTCGCGCCTATAAATTCACAGGTTTTAAGCATTATGTGGGTAAAAAAACTAATGATACAGGAAGACATATCAAAAAAAAGAAACCAACATTCCTGGATGAATATTGTCGTAGAAATCTTTTATCACCCTGTTAGATTATTCGAGTCATAAACATCCAAATTCCGGACCGTATTCAGTTAGTGATGGAGTTTAAAAAGTAAATTGCATAAACATATATTAAATAGTTTAATGCACATCTTGAGGGAGAGGCTTCTCACCAGCCATGACTCAGTCCGGCAGCTGTAAATGTCTGAAATATGTTAACGTGGAGAATGCCTCTGGCTGTATTGAACATTTGTTGAAAATATAAAACAATTTGTATCAATACCAATAAATAGAATGACAAAAAGTTAGAGTAGCATATTTTTTGTTGTCCGACTGGAAATAAAGTATTATTATTATAACAAATATAGAATTTCATTACAATAATTACGCACCATAGATTGAAGTTTCACTCATTGAATGCCATGCTGTTTTTTCAAGTCAAGATTCCTACCCTGACACCAAATTTTTTTTAGTCAAGATCTGCTAGCTATCTGTAGAGAACTGAGCCTAGAAGACTCTCTTGACGAGTTGATGCTTCAGTTGGGAGCTGATTCTCAAGGTAGAATTTCTTACGAGCAATTTTTACGTCGAAGACTCGCCTTACGCCCAGAAATTGACGCACTAAAAACTACAAGCAAGGATAACGTCAGTGATAACAGCCAAGGTAGGTAATGCTGCTGTTCCATAACTGAAGAATTCTTGAATACCGGCTAGGATCATTTTTTAACCATCTTAAAATATGGAAAGACAGAAATTTTTTGGTTTTCAAATGTGTTTCAGTTCTATCCTTCATTAATTCCGTGTTTTACCAACAATCTGAACTTTTCTGAAAGTACCGGAACTCACTTACAAGTAGATCCCACTATTTTGGAGGGCATAGAGAATTGAATTGCATTTTTGTATTATTATTTAGTTCCTTGTCAAGACCTGACAAGAAATGTATTTAAAATTATCTATAATATTTTCCTGAGACCTAACTAACTTTTGAAAATTTCGGAAGGGGAAGAGCTGTAAAAAAATTGTAGAGTTGGTTTTTGGAAACGAATGAAGTGACTCACTGACTTGTCTTTTTGGAGACTCTACTACAAAAAAACAATTCTACCGTTATGTTGAAACTCGGATTGATGTCCATTCACAGTAAAAGACGCATAGACACAAGAATATACCAATTTTCCATTTGGCAGTCGATGTTGAAGAACTTGGTACTCAAGCATAAAAGAACAGATTTTTAAGCAAGTTTCATGTACATATTACATTTGGGTTTATATTATCAATTCATTTTATGGGAAATAATATTGTTCCTTGTACAGCAAGATATATTGATCATTATCCTTGCAATCTCATCATTTTCAATATTCGTTGTTCTACCTTGATTTTTTACTGTTAGATTTACGGTAAATTCACACTGTGATCAGTTTGTGCTTTATAGTTATATTTTTCCTCAAAATGTGTTGAAGAATTGTCAACAATACTAATGAAGTCGCCATTCTTTATTTGGAAGTATATTTCAAACCCTTGTATATATTTGTTAAACGAACATGGCATAAAAGTTTTCATTATTTGATATATTTTCTTCATGCAGAAACCTTAATCTGATCGACACACATTTTATACAAGGGATTGAGCCATAAAACATGTTGAAAATGTTCATGACAGAAATATGAATATTTTCAAATCAATATCCTCCACTACTGTTTGTTATCAAGAATATGTCGAACATTTTCAAACTCTCAAATATCTGTGAAGTGTGTGTGTAAATTACGTTTACTAAAACCTCTCAAGCGTCTTTTATCTGAAGGAAAACTGGATCGCTGGGAATGGGATTCAGGTGCTAGAGACATGAGCCCAGTACCCAAGAGCATTCTGAAGAGCACAGAAAAGTACACCGAAGAAGAATTCAAGGTTAGTGTTTTCTTCTTTTATTAACAAATAAGTAAATACAACTATAAAATATCAAGAAAGTCAGTAATTTATATCGTAATCAAGCATCTTCCTAGATGTTATCCACCAAATATTCAAAAACCCAACATCTATGATCCGATCACCAAGCTTTCTGTAAGGTACTTGTAGATATGAGCAATTACTTTCATATGTGTCACATTCGCTACTGAATTCATCAACCCATATTATCGAAAGAATGCCTAGATTTGTGTAGCGAATTAGATTGGCATTGAAACACTGCTCGACGTACTTCAAGTGACGCAGCGATTCAGGATTTGCTATGCTGCTATTGACGAGGGCCAGTTCGTTTGAACACTGAACGTACTTGGCTCTGAAGCTCTGCAAATCCGGGTTATGAGACATACAGTACCCCATCAACCCTAATCCTGTGATATACGTTACAGATTTGAGTGGTTTTTGCCTCATTTCTGTTTTCAGGTTGATTGCTACTTCTGTATAGTCGTTTGCTAGTTGTTTCCAGTATTTTATCCATTTTTCGAAGAACGTACCTTTTATTTTTTTATTAAACGATTGGTTTGCGGCTTTCAGCTGGTCCAGAGAAATGGAATTGAAATTCGAATAATTAGAACGTGAAAATTTCCACATTTTTAGAGGTTAGGTGACTATGTTTCCGCTGATATTTATTTCAAAACTACGCTCTTCATTTTATTCACTTATTCCTTAATAAAAATTGTTTAATTCATCATCACCTAGATTTTCATATGATTGAACTTGATTACCTGAAATTTAATATAGTTTTTTGTTTATTTCTAATGACGTGACACATGGCATTTGACATAAAACATATTTTTTCTAAGCAATGGTTATATCGCCTAGGACAACTAGCCAATGTTATTCAAGTGGATTATTGCCGCAAGGTGCCGGTGCCAACGTCAAGGAAATTTTTTGTTTCCCGTAAAATTTTCCGAATAGAATCGACCGTTTTATTTAAAAAAAAAGAGAAACGGAAAATGGAAAAGAATAGGGAATGCACCAAGATTCGTTGATGCATTACACCGGCAGTCAAGAAATCTATTGAAACAGTCAAATCCTAGGATAATAAATCTATGGAATGTTGTGAGCTTTGGCATAGCATCCATTTTATGGTTTTGCCTAAAATTCTTCGGTTTCGAATTTTCAAAACATCCTATAGATTCCAACATTTTTGGTTTTTGGGAAAATTATCAGAATGTGACATTTAATAAAAAATACCACTTTTTCATTTTTTTTAGAATTACTTTTGATATTGCATGTATAAGGCCCCAGATGTTAACAAAAAATTACGATCGCAAAGTTTTTGTTACCAATACGTGAATAGACAATAATTGCAGATAGGACACGAATCAGCAGAAAAAACCGACGATGATTATAGACGGGCTACTTGAAAATCACAAAGTTAGCCCAGTTTATAATAATAGTCAGTCACGGAAATGTAATTTTGTCACCATGCTTCATTCCTATCTGTGATACTAGTCATTTAATTTCTGTCACTGTAATTTTTCGACATCACCTCAGATAAGTTTTCGTCTAATCACCTAGGTGTAATATCAAATGTCACTCTAAAAAAGAAGGAAAAATTCCAAAAATGTGCCATTCTAATCCAGAGTTGTTTCAGAAAATCAAACCTGTTGAAATATGTTTATTCGTTAATCAGCTGTTGCCTTTCTATGAACGACAATCCTGAAAAGTTGAAACTTGTGTGAGCTAAGAATCAACAAAACTGATTTCGGCAAAAACGGAAGTTACTGGAAATTTGAAAAATATGCAGAAACTCTGTTCTTCACATAGCATTCACTTATACCAAATCTCTTTTTGATACACCTGAAATTTTTAAAGCTATGCCTTTTCTAATATATACTGCCCGGTATATAAAATTCGTAAATCTCAAAAATAGTTGTCACTTAACAATGACGAAGAAAGAAGTACGGAACTTTTCCTTTCTTTATAAAATATTGAGCAGTAGAAAATGATGAAAATAGATATAATTACTAAAGTAAATAACTGTTAGGTTTTACCCCTACCCCGATGAAAACGTGCATCAGCAAACATAAACAAGGTAATATTTGCACATGGCAATCGATCCGGTTCGAATTTCCCGGATGATAAGATAGCTAACCACACGGCTCGATAAAAACTCATAAGGGAAACCTATAAAATGTGTGCGTTTCTGGCTAGACTAACTTCTACGGTAATATTATTGTTTGCGTCTCGTTCTTTCTTGTTTCTAGAGAAATTTGAACTCTTCGTTTCAATAAATCCTGCCCGTGCTGGCTTGTTTGCACTCATTGTGGCTCTCGCTATCGATTCGTAGGTATTTTGCGACGCAATAGAAAATGCGACGAGAATCCTTGGGAATATTTACCGTATATTGTATCGTTATTTGTGGGATTGACCATACTCAGGCAGAATGGAACTAATCTGTGATGTGTGCCACTAAGATTCATGAAGTTACAATAGACCTTTACACTGATGTTAGGATAATAATAATAATAATATGATGCATCTCCATAGTAGTTTGCATCCCAAATCATCCATTCCACGGTTGTACTTCGCCCGACAACAGGGAGGCCGTGGAATTTTGAGTTTGGAGTGTCTAAATTACAGAATGGTACTGGATGGAACCTGTAAAGTCGTCAGGATTTCGGATACCCTTCTCTGCATGGTCCGTGACCATGAGAGAGCAGAAATTGGAGCATTTCTCTTCAGGGCAGCTGCCTGAGCAGCTGATGAACTCGGTTTAATTTTCGATACTGAACGAGGTGATGACAACTCCGGCACCGAGTTGGAACGCGTTCAGCAAAAGGCTCATCAAAAAGCCGCAGAGATCACACAACTTCTGCGGAAACACAAGGATAAGCCAGTGCATGGGGCCTTCTTCAATAACATTGAAGGCCTTGTCTTATCAAAGCGCTTGACTTTCGCTTTCCTCAGGTCGAGTGGGCTGAAGTCGGAAACTGGTGGGTTCGTCATGGCATGTCAGGATAGTGTTTTCAACACCTTGGTCTTCCGCAGTGATGGGGATAGAGGTTCCTCACACAATGTGCAGGGCCTACCGCGAGGCGTCCGAGACCCTAATGCACTTGCTGTCGGCATGTCCAGCATATGCGGTCTCGGCCTATATCCATCGACATAACGCGGTCCTAAGAGTGCTTTATCACCATCTATGTCACTCCTACGGGATTGACGAGCCACCGGTGTTGCCCTACGCTCCGGGGGATATTGAATCCGTTGTGGGGAACGAGAAGTGCCGAATTTATTGGAACTATCCGTTCCCCACCCTCAGGCTCACACAAGCTTATTAGCCTAATGTAGTCCTTCTCGACCAACAGAGCAAGACGATATTTGTCGTGGAGTTTTCAGCTCCTGGCGAGACGAATATCGTCCGAAAAGAGATGTCAAGATGGTTGTTCTGATTATTGGAGTCCTTGATGGAATGATGTCCTCTTTACTCTCGAATTTCAAAATCATACCAGCTTGTCGCACTAAGGCAGAAATCTTAGTCGGACATATGCAGAAGGCTGTCAGTTTTGACTCACTGACTCCACGAATATAGACATACATTGTACACTTTCATCCAAACACATACAATACATACTTTGTCTATATATTAAAAATACAGATGCTGAAATTAATTAGAGAAAACTGTTCTCATAGAAATCTTTTAAACTATAATAGAGTCTACCACATAATAAATCTTTTACTGATTTCCGAAATTTACAGTTATCCTCTGACATTTTAATATAGACAGGTAAATGACTGACCATCGTAAGATCACTATAACGAAAGACGTTTTTGACTAGAGTAGAGGCTGGTATAGGTAATCTTAGATCATTAGCTTTACGAAGGGCATGATAATTGGAGTAGCTGTTGAATATCAGTTTATGTTTGTTGATCAAATATACTGTTTCTAAAATGGAAATTCTATAGACTGTCAAAATTTTATGTGGTTCAAACAAGAATTTGCAGGAGTCTCGGCATTGCACATGAATCTTATAGCTCTTTTCTGCATAATGAAAACAGTCTGCAATAGAGTTTTGCAACATACTCCCCAAAAGGAATCCCATATCTCAAATGAGAATCAATGAATGAGAAATAAGCCGATTTAGCGGCAAGCAAACCCAATTGCTTATACTGTCAATTAGTACCCCTAAAAATTTAGAAATGGGTCCGTCCGTTTTTGTTAATAGTATGCTGTCAATAAAGCAATGGAATAATATTAAATTCGTTTTGAAAACATTGAATGACAGCAGTGATCTAGACAGTCGAAGGCTTTAGCAGAGCCACAGGACACTGCTGATAATGACTCTCTTTTCCTAGGAAGCTTCCCGGCTTCGCACGGGTGGCATCGCCACCCCGACTTTGCACAGATAACATCGTCATAATCCAACCAATTCACACAAAACAATAATACATTATTCCCATAAATCATCCTCTTGAATTACTACCTTCAATTTGAGTTTATCGCGTTCAGACAGACATACAGGTAGGCATTCGCGGCGGGGATTTTTATAATGTAGATATAGTGATAGTCTGTTGTTTTTGAACAACTCAAATCCCTTAACTTTATGGAAAAATACGTCTTATGATACGCCGTATATCAAAAAACATTTTACTCTCGATCGTGTGTCAAGCCTAATCTTTCAAATCATCCTTCTTCCAGCGCCGACATAAAGAGAAGCCGACCATGATCTTTGAGTTGATCATAAAACGAATATCATCAATAACAATCTGAAAAAACGCACAACAGGAAACGGGGTCAAAACCCTAGCTTGAATTGCATAATGAGATAAGAGTTTTCATTGACTGACAGAGGAGGGGACGTCGTGCTTTGATAACTTGATCCGGCAATTTGATTTTGGGTCTGACGCCTCCGAAAGTCATCTAGATTGATCAGAATAACTCTGGCGACTGTTTCGAGAAGATAAAATTCGGAACATTTACGTTTATTCCTGATCATAAGTGCAGATTAGTTTAAGGTATAAACAATTTAGTTGAACAAAAAATATTTCAATATTGCAAAAACTTGTGAAGATATTGAAAAAATAAAAACATTCTCATGGCGCAGAAAATTCACAGCCCCTCATCTGTGAGATCAATATTTTTAGCTTCAATTGAGCGGTAAAGATACGAATACAAACTGGTAGTTAGACAGATGTCAAAGGAGTTTGACATCTGTTGAAAAAGTTGAGAAATGAAGTCAGAAAATGAAAAACTGCGTATGAACTTGAATTTTGTCCAATTCTGAAGACGGAGACGAATTTACGCTTCCGAAACGTTAAGATAAGTGTTGAATAATTTGTCAGCTTTTTTTGATAGGCAAACAATGACTTTTTCGGGATGCATTGCACGTTCATGGATCTCATGTGGATTGGAATCGTCCCAAATTCGACAGTTTTGTTTGTTCACGTACCCATTTATTCGCAAATGGGCGTCATCCCTGAAGACGAAGCAGTTACCAACTGCTCCAGAGCCCGTTCATCGAACACAAGTCGTTATATATGGTGGTGAGCGAAGCTAAATCGACTACCTCAGAATTTCCTGCACGCTCTCACAGACAGTGGCGATGATTTCGGCAGATCTTGCGTTTCGTTGACGTACGGGTTTACTGAACTAGTGGACTCAAATTTATCCACCATATAGTCTTTTCGATAGGGCGATTATTTCATCATTTGCAGGTGTAGTTGAATGCCGTATCGGTCCATGTTGATTTGACAAAACAGATTGAATAAATGTCAGATAATTTGATAGATAAAGCTTCAACAAGCAAGGCAAGTTACTCGATAATCCCTCAGATATT